TTTGATTTATAAAATCAAACCACCTAATAAATATTATTTATGCAGATATAATCATTAAATAAGGTTATATTAATAGATATTTTTCACATAAAATTTGATACATTGTATATAAATTTCAATACACAATTAATATCAAGAGGTTCAAGAACTCCCGATGGTCAATTACTGCAAATTATGTTAGTGTCGACACCCTCGCATTGTGTCAAACTTACCCAATAACTTATAATTGGTTATGTATTGACACTTTCACCCATTGCGGAAGAAACAATTCCATGTCAGACTTTTGGACCATTATTCAATTTCCTGAATGGTAAAATAACAATATCGGTTCCTCAACTTCAATTTGCATTTTTTTTTAAGTTAGTTGAAATCTTTAACAAATTAGGATACCCAATCCCAATCAACTCTTTACCTTACTTCAAATTGGGATTCCAAATCCCAAGCTAGTTATTATTATTTTTTGGGAAATGATAAGTTTGCCCTTTGAACCGGCACACTTCATTACACACGCACAGTTTGGAGATTAAAATACATTAATAGGCAAGTATTTACCTAGGAAAATTATTGATACACCCAATATTTCAACACCCGGTTCCACACCATTTTGTTTAGTCATTAAAAGTATAATATAAATACAGTCAATTCAGTCGATTCCTGTATCTTGTATGCATGATTGTATCATTATACATGTCTGTTTTTAATTTCAGACTAAAAAATAATAATTTTTTAATGACTAAATCAGAGAGTGTTGAACCGGGTGTTGAAATATTGGGTGTACCAATCACTGTCCATTTACCTATCCAGAGCTTATCTTGCAAAAGACAATGACTAGAGTAGAGTTTAAGGAACCTATCACAAATCCCTCTACACCCCCTTCATCTCTCTTTGCCTACTTCATTTTGGTGTCTTTATAGATTTGACCCAATCGCCACCATGGAAACATCTATGTTGCTTAACAACTAGATTGATCTATGAATCACCCACCCTGGAAGTCTCTGCCAATGAAGAGAAGCAATTCTTTCTTATTGCTCTGTCTCTCCATCTTAGGCTCTTTTTTGTTGCCAATGGTCTTACGTCCTTGTTTTCCATTCCTCTCTTGCTACCAACTCCACCTAATCCACCCAAACATGTTCGCTCCCCCAATTTTCTTCTTGCTCTTGAATTTCCTTGAAAAATCCTTCAATTTCCTAAAAAAAAAGGGCAAAAACCAAACATACAATACTATGCAACGAATCTATTTGGGTTTAGTTATTGGGTTTCAAGATGAACCTAAATGTAGGATTCCACAACAAACACATACTTTATTTTTTTTTTTACTCAAATTCAACTTTGGTTGTGGTGGCTGTTAAGTTGCAATCTCTTTGAATTTTGAGTTTGAATAGAGAATGATTTTTGTCTTTTTTTATTGTGGATGATGAAAGTGTAATTAATTTGTTTGGAAACAGAAATAAATATGAATGGCAATGGGTTTAAGCTTTTACACATTTCATTCCAAATCATAAGAAATTAACTTCTTAATAGTGTGTAGCAAACTGTGAGGAACTGGAGTGTATTTTTTTTTTTTGAAAAGCCAAATAATATTTTTAATAAGAAACTGAGTACAAGGGGTGGACAAGGAAAAACTATAAGATAAACTTAATAAGTAAAATATGGATAACCCTTAATTAAACTTATAGCATGCCAACAAGTATAATAAAAAAAACAGATACAGTACGGGAATGAAATAGATATCTCCTTTATATGTCATGGCCAGTGTTATAAACCTCTCACTGGCAGGCACACTATTTGCTGGTGTATAAGCCCCACTAGCAGGGTCACTCGAACGAACCAGCTCTATCACTAACATGTCGACATATGCTAGCGTTTAACCCCCACTAACAGGGTCACTAATAACACAACCACATCGGAGACAAAACATGTTGAAGTTAACAGAAAAAATCATAATTTACCAATCACTTTCAAATTATTAGGACAATCAATTAAATTTCAGGTAGGCATGCTCCATTTAATGAAAAACATAAAAATTTCACTTCAAATCAGTCATACTTACTTTTGTATAAAACGGGTTTAGTCCCGCCACTACTTCAAAAACAAATCAAAACATGTTTTTAAAAACTGTATGGGTATTACAATAAATTTACTTACCTCAAATCGCATAACATAAAAAATTCACTCCATAAACTGAAGAGTCAATCTCAATGCTAAACTGACAGAACGACCAGAAACCTAATCAAAATATTCAAGGATTAATTCTATACTATCACAATTTCAAAGTAAAATCACCATGACCACCTCCTAATCACGATGCTATTTCTATCAATTTCCACAGGACATCTCTAAATTTGTTATTATATTACAAACTAAACATTTAAATCCCCGTTAATTATTGGCCATCAGTGCGTGAATAGTAACATGTGAACAGTACCATGAACAGTAACTGCACTTCCAAAAATTGGCCAAAACACTAGCTAATTCACGGGATTTTCTCCAAAAATCACATAGCAGTCAATTAACACTCAATCATATAAATCCCACTTGAATTAATGCTTAAATTTGTCCTAAAGCTACCGGAATTCCTCCCCATTTTTCTGTAAAATTCGGACATCACAGCGGCAGCCACTACATGGATAATTCAACAATTAAAGGGGTAAATTGGGACTTAGATGGAGCTGCCACTTACCAGAAAATCCAGCAAGCCAACTGAAGTGCAGATTGGGGGAAGCCGGCGGCAGTGCAGGGGAAGCTCACGGGGCTACCAAAAATTGAAGGAACCAAAAGCAATTAAGGTAAACCCAAGGCACTTAAAGCTGGAGAAGGGAGATTCATGGCTGTTTCTTACCAAAAAATCAAAGCAATTCGCCCCCACAAAGCAGGAGCAGCAGGCGGTGAGGAGCAGAGCAAGGCAGATCCGAATTTCTGCAGAGTGGGGGGAAGGTTTCAAGGCTCCAAATCTGGTTTTTGAACAAGAAAAGGAAGGCAAAACCAAGCTTTTCCTACCGGTTTCTCAAGGCTGGTGCCGGTGGCTTGGAGGGGCTTTCGAGAAGAAGAAGAATGAGCAGATGCGCTGGCTGAAGAAGAAAGAAAGAAAGAAAAAAAAAAAAAAAAAAAAAAAA